ACACCAACTCAAAGAGGCTGAACACCAACTCAAAGAGGCTGAACACCCACTCAAAGAGGCTGAACACCCACTCAAAGAGGCGGAACACCAACTGAAAGAGGCTGGACACCAACTCAAAGAGGCTGAACACCAACTCAAAGAGGCTGAACACCCACTCAAAGAGGCTGAACACCAACTGAAAGAGGCTGAACACCAACTGAAAGAGGCTGGACACCAACTGAAAGAGGCTGAACACCAACTCAAAGAGGCTGGACACCAACTCAAAGAGGTGGAACACCAACTCAAAGAGGCTGAACACCAACTCAAAGAGGCTGAACACCAACTGAAAGAGGCGGAACACCAACTCAAAGAGGCTGAACACCAACTCAAAGAGGCGGATCACCAACTCAAAGAGGCGGAACACCAACTCAAAGAGGCTGAACACCAACTGAAAGAGGCTGAACACCAACTCAGAGTCAGAAAACTAGCTCATAGAGGTGGAATGCTTATTCATAGAGGCAGAACTCTGCTTGATCGAAGAGGTGGAGTGCTAACTCAGGTTAATGGGTGAATAGGGACTTGACCTTAGTTTGTGACGTTTAAGTAGAGCACTTGTTTTTTTTTTCAAACAGCATCGTGTCTCCCTTGAAGTGAACTTAAATTACTTCCATGTCTGCGTTTTTATAAATGGTCTCCTTTTTCTTGTTTTGACCCGTTGGCTGCTTCAGCTCCCAGAGGCCGACCCCTGGCTGATCCCGGTCATCCAAGGCTTCGTGCAGGTGGAGGAACTGGTGGTGAACTACAACGAGACGTCCGATGAGGAGCGCAGCAGCCCAGAAACCCCACCAAAGGAGATCACCTGCGTCGATGACATCCATCCTCGTTTCACCGTGGCACTGATCTCCAGGAGGAGCCGCCACCGCGCAGGTAGAACCACAGTCAGCCCGGTCCGTGGGAACGTCTTCGTAAATAACTTGATGACATCAAAGACGATAAATTTATTGATGAGAAGAACCATTTTCAGAATATTTCCCGTGTTTTCCTCCTCGTCTTCCAAGGGATGCGCTACAAACGCAGGGGCGTGGATAAAGATGGCCATGTGGCGAACTACGTGGAGACAGAGCAGCTGATCCACGTGCACAGCCACACGCTGTCCTTTGTGCAGACCCGTGGTTCTGTGCCCGTGTTCTGGAGCCAGGCCGGGTATCGCTACAACCCTCGACCCCGCTTAGAGAAAGGTCAGTAAAGGTCTGCTACCTGCAGGAACGCCCACAACAGCTCCACAGATGGTTTTAGATGAGATGACTTAAAACAGCCGAATGTAGCTTTTTACATAATTTTTTAATTTTTAGTTTTTGGTCTGGATCTTCAAATCTGCCTGAATACATTTATCGTGTTAATCACTAATGATCTGTTTTAATTTTCTGTTAAAGATTTGTAAAAAAAAATAAAAAATCTGCCTTTGAATTTTAATGGAAACATCACCTGCGACCCAAGGTGAACGGCTAAAGCTAAACTTTGGTGTGGTAGTAGCTGAGAGTCATCCTCAACACTTCCCCCCATTTGATCAAAACAACTATAATGCTGGAATTTTACATCAGATGATTTTAGTCTTTGGCCTTTAATTTTCCAAATTGTGATTTATAAAAACTAACCTTGATCAGTAAAATAAATAAATTGTATTTTTTTCTGATTTTTTTTTTTTTCAGGAGAGAAGGAGACCATGTCGTACTTTGCTGCTCACTTTGAAGAGCAGCTCAAACTTTACAAGAAACAGGTTTGTTGGATTTACAAAAATGTGATTCGGCTTCATTTTTTTAATTTTATTTTTTATTAGATTTGCTACTTTCGACATTTATCAGTTTATTATCATTTGATTGTTCCAAAGCCGGGTCGTGACTGGAGACCAGTCGAGTAAACGTCTTCATGTTGACAAATATTTCAGTCTTTAAACAGTTAGTGTTTTTCATCTGCGGTCTGTTTTAAAGACATTTAGCGCGTGATGTAAAGGGGCAGATAATTTTTTTTTTACTGTTTATGAGTTTGGTTTCTCTAACTTCACTTGTTGCCTCATGCCTCAGGTCATCATTAACTTGGTGGATCAAAGCGGACGGGAGAAGATCATCGGCGATGCGTTTCTGAAGCAGGTCCTGCTGTACAACAACCAGAACCTCACATACGTTTCGTTTGACTTCCACGAGCACTGGTGAGAGAAGCGCAGTCGCCACCGCTCGTGAATTTTACACGAGCTTCGCTTCACTTCCTCTTTGCTCTTCTTCCTCTTTCTCAGTCGAGGTATGAAGTTTGAGAACGTGCAGACTCTGACCGATGCCATTTCTGACATCATCACTGACATGAAGTGGGCCTGGTGAGTGTCGTGCACGTCACCATTTGTAACGAACCCTCAGTGGCCCAGAGTTCATGTTAATATTCCTGATTGTCGTTTGATTTTCACACAAACCTTTTGGACTGCATCAGGGTGGACCAAGCCGGAGTTATCTGCAAGCAGGAGGGGATCTTTAGGGTCAACTGTATGGACTGCCTCGACCGGACCAACGTGGTTCAAGCTGCCGTAGCTCGGGTGGTGATGGAACAGCAGGTGAGTTGGACCCCGTTCAGACCCGGCACTAAACATCTGTCCTGGGTGATCAGAACAAGGACAACGGTCCTGAGCAGATGTGATCTGATTCCAGCCAAGCAGCCGAGTTCTTACCTGGATGTTTCTCAACAAATCTCAGGTCGCAAACACTCAGAGTTCAGGGAGACTGCAGCTGAATAAATTGACAATTTTCTCAAAAGTTTGACTCTTCAACTACCGTAATGTCCGGACTAATAACTGTTACCTTTTTCACAAGCTTTGAACCCCGCGGCTTATACAACGCTGCGGCTAATTTATGTTGGGTTTTTGACCGGCTAACGAGCTTCATGCCGCCAAAACATTCAGCCTCGTCACATCCGGGTCCTCGCAGAGCTGCCCAATGCACGTCTCTTGGGGGGTGGGTCCTCGGGACTCAATGAGACTACCTGTATAATTAAAGGTTTAAAAAAATCTGACCAGTGAAATTACAGAATAGGTCACAGCGGACCAATGAAACGGGGAGGAGAGGAGGTGGTGAAACTTCAGCAGATCTGCCACATCGTTTACCCCCACCCGCCACCATTATCTCCTCCCCTCCCTGTTCTGAAAGGCAGTGTGATGAAGAGGACGGCACAAGCAGTGCACAGGAGGAGGATGAAGACTACGATCAAGACTTTTCCTGATAGGCTACTGTATTTATTTATTTTTAACCAGCCCTGTTACCGGCACTGTTCAGAAAAAAACATTTACCGTATTTTCCACCGTACACGTCGCTCCGCCCCCTAAGTCGCATCCGTCCAAATATGTCTAATAAAGTGGAAAATTCATAAATACGTCGCTTCTATTACGCGTCACTACTGACAACCTGGAAATGTGGGCTGGTGTTGTGCCAAAAATCGATGCACAGGAGGACTTTAACAAGAATTTAACAAGATTAACACTTAAAAATAATTATTTGTTTGCTTGAAATTATAACAATGGTGTGTCTCGGTCTAACGTTTGCTTAATAAATGCACTTTAGCTGCATTTCGCCGGGGCGGTGCAGCGAAATGAAGCTGAGCAGCGAGCAGAACCAAGGTGGGGGGACTATGGCAGGCCGATTGTACCATTAATAGCTGGTGAAGATTCTCAGTCATCCAGGACATGGTAAATTCAAAAGAGTTCAAGAAAAAAAAACAAGTATAATAAATAAAGTCCAGTTGTTTTTGTCTTGGAACTTTTTTGAATTTGTCATTATAGCCACGTTTACATGATACAACGGCATGCCATACTGCTGCTACTCTGCTGCCATCAGTGGCTGAAAGTGGAACTGCTCAATTTTGTTTTTCAGTCCGAATGAGTGAAAACACATTTCAGCCAAAAAAAGGTTTATAAATACGAGAACAAATCAATAAATATGTCGCTTCGGCCTATAAGTCACAGGGTATGTAAATTATAAACAAAACTGCTACTTATAAACCGTAAAATACGGTACTGTACGTATTGTATGTTACGGGTACGTATTAAATTAATTATTATTTTAATTTAGTGGGCGTGGCTTATATTTGGGTACGCTCAATAGTCTGGAAATTATGTTTTTTTTCCAACAATAGCAGCCCAGTGAGTTAATGGCTTCATGGCTGTGGCCATGCTGTTGCCTCTTTAGCATTTTTTAGACAAATAAAACGACTCTTGCTCAAAAGCATTAGAGTTCAGAGGAACACGATGTTAAAGTTAAACTTCCTCATTTTTGTTGAAGACTGAACAACGTTTGTGTTGTGTGAATTTAGGTCTGCTGAGTCAGCCGGGTGTTCAACGAGACGCTCTGATCAATCAGACCGATCTATAAAACATTAGGATTAGAAATGTTTTTGTATTGTAGATTTTTGTTTGACCTTATTAGGACATTAAAGTGATTTCTTCCGGCAGCTGAAGAAGCTGGGCGTGATGCCTCCAGAGCAGCCGCTGCCTCTGAAGTGCTACAGGATTTATCAGGTCATGTGGGCCAACAACGGGGACACCATCAGCAGACAGTACGCAGGAACCGCAGCGCTCAAGGTAAAATGGTCTTTTTATCATCGACTGATCAGTTTCTATCAAAAAGGGTTCAACATGGCCGATTTGACAGACTAGTAGTTTAAATTTAGTGTGGTAGTAGCTGAGAGTCATTCTCAACATACGTGAGGCGCTAACGGACCATGCAAGTAGTCACATATAACACACACATAACTTTATTTTTAAGTTTTAAAGAAAGTTACTATAATTCTGGCATGAAAGGTTCAAGAACGCTGAAACGAAAGAATAAAGTTAATCTTTAATCCTGAATATTCCCAGTTGAACCCTCAGAAGGTCTTGAGAAATAAACCGACACCCATTTATTTTTGTTCATGTTTTCAAAGCGTAAAGATTCGTCAAATCGTTTTACTTTGTCAGAATGTTTTGAAACTCTAACCTCACAGTGACGTTACCGACTCGTTCAAGTTTGACGCAAAAGGAAGCCTCGTCTTCAGATACCGGTTCTGGAGGGTCCGATGGGTCTAGGTGGACTTCCCTAAGCTCTGGGTTGGAATAAAAAATAAAATACAAAGTTAAATTTTTTAATGTATCAAAGTTGGAGAAAAAAAAAACTTTAAAAGTTGCTATAAAATAAACATTTCGTCAACTTTTATTATTTTATATATAAAAAAAACTAATTGTGGAGTTTTAAAAACTAAAGTCCTGTGAGAAGGTAAAGTTTTAGGAAGTCATTTAAATTTTATATTTTTAATTCCAGCTGAGATTGCTCTGAAAGACAGAACATTTTATTGTGGACAAAAACATAAAAACCAGTATTTTTCAGCATTTAAGGCGGTTATTTCCCCCTGAGGATCATTTGTAAAGTTAAGGACCTTCTGAGGGTTCAGGTGAGATCCGTCTGGTTTTAAAAACTGTCGTCGAACTTTCACACTTGATGTTTCTGCGCTGCAGAGACTGGAGTTCACGTGAGGAGTTTTCATTAATCCCGGTTTGTTCTGCTGCAGGGAGACTTCACACGAACAGGAGAGAGGAAGCTGGCCGGTGTGATGAAGGACGGAGTGAACTCTGCCAACCGCTACTATCTGAACCGCTTCAGAGATGCCTACAGGCAGGCGGTGATCGGTACGGTGGCGGGGCGTTACAGCCTGGTCTGCAGGTCTGACTGCTCACAATAACCACTGCATTCTGCCCCCCCAGATCTCATGATGGGCTTACCGGTGACCGAGGACCTCTACTCCATCTTCAGTAAGGAGACGGAGCAGGAGGAGAAGGAGAAGGAGAGCCAGAGAGGAGCTCAGGAGCAGGTCAGCCTCCTGCTGCAGACCTACATGCAGCTGCTGCTGCCAGATGATGAGACGTTTCACGGAGGGTGGGCCCTCATCAACTCCGACATGAGGTCAGTGCTGTCCTTCCTGGATGATGATCTGGACCAACTAGGGGCGTCTCTATCCTAGGTTTTTCCAGACTGAGTACTAGTACTTCAGTTTGAGTACACGCTCATACTGCGTCTTAGTTAATGTGTTAGTACTTAAACTACAGTTTTATTTGGAACACAACCGACTGTCTGCGGTCTTAACATCACCTCTATTTAAATTAAAACATCTGCAAACTACTTTTTTTTCTTGCTTGTGCATTGAAAGAGGAAATGACGTCACAGAGTATAAAAAATGTATCCGTCCAGAGTATCGGGTGTTTCTACGAGTATTTGAGTCTGGTATAAGTATCAGGACACCACTTGAAGCAACTTCATAAAATCATGTAGATCATCAACCTCGGTGATCATGTAGCTGCTCGTGTGTGGGTTTGTCTGTTAGCAAAGTACGCACGTCTAAAACCCGCTGACCTTCAGAGTCCAACTGATTCAAGATGGCCGCCACAGCTAATAACACTAGTGGACACAAAATTGGCAATAAATCAGTCAATCGTGCAGATATTGGGCTCATGTTTGGTGTGGTAGTAGCTGAGGCTGATCCCCAACACATATTCTGAGCGCTCCGTTTAAAATGGCATCAACTGTTGAAACTAATTAAATTAAAATGGACAAATTTGAACGAAGCTGTCAAAGTAATCACAGGATGTGCATCTAAAACTCATTAGCTTTAGAATGAACCTGATTCAAGATGGCCGCCACATTGGCAATCACAAAAACAGCTGTAAGTCGGTCGGTACTGCAGATTCTGAGCTGAAATTTGGTGTGGTAGTAGCTGAGGGTTCGCCTCAACACGCCCTGTGAGTGCTGCAGATCACATCTGTTTAAATGCAGCGGGCAACATGCATTCCTTCAAAATAAAGTTCTTCATTCCCCTCCAGCCTCATCGATGCCACCAACAGAGACGTGGACGTGATGCTGCTCCTGTCGGACAAAGCTTACTACATCGCCTAGTGAGTCATCCCTTTGATGTCCGTTCTTTGAAGTCATTTTAATGGATTCGTCGTTTACCGTCGTCTGTTTGTTACAGCTACGACGAAGAGGCAGATAAAGTCAACCAGTACCAGCGCCTCAACTTGGAAGGGCTGGAAAAGATTGAAATCGGTGAGAAGTTCGTGTAAAAACACTTCCTGAACGTTTCATGTTTTATCAAGAGCCTCACCGGTTATGATTCATGCAAGAATAAAAAAAAAAGATAAAGGTCGGCGCTTCCTTCTGCAGGTCCGGAGCCTACGCTGTTCGGGAAGCCGAAGTTCTGCTGTATGCGTTTGCACTACAGGAATGAAGACACGAGCGGGTACTTCCACACCCTGAGAGCAGCGACACGGAACCCCGAGGACGACGGCAAAGGTTGGATGATGTTTTAAAAACCAAATGGATCTTTTTTATGTACTTATCAACGCTTCGTGATACGTTTTCAGATACGCTACAGTGCATAGCCGAAATGCTGCGCATAACTAAACAGGCTACGGGGCTCGACCTGCTGGTGGTGGAGAAGAAGCTGGAGAGGCGAGTATCACACTGTAGAGATCCTGTTTCTCTTTGTTCTCTCCTTCACTTGGACACGTAACGACTGCACACTTTGAACGTTTTCAACCTTCAGCTGTCGAAAGGTTCGGCTCATTCGGAACAGGTCGACTTTTAATATAATTTAGATATTTTCTAAATACTCAACATTAACCTTAGCGTTTTGCCACTTTTAGTCGTTTGTTGCTACACGGAGGAACGTTTCGACACTTTCAAATTACAGTTAGCGTTGTGCTTCTTATATTTTGGCTTGAATTTAGCTACTTTTAGCTAGTGTTTGCCGCTATTTGAAGGCCTTTTTTTACTTTTAGCTAGCTTTCTGTCATGTTTACACTTTAGCTAGTGTTGCTACATTTAAGCCACATTTTTATACATTTACATTCTAGTTAGCATATTGCTACTTTTCCATTTTGGTTAACATTGTGGTACTTTTAGCTAGCTTTTTGCTACACTGGGGTACATTTTGACACTTTTAAATTACAGTTAGCGTTGTGCTACTTATATTTTAGCTAGAATTTTGCTACTTTTAGCTAGTGTTTGCTGCCATTTGTAGGCCATTTGTTACTTTAGTTAGCTTTCTGTCATGTTTACACTTTAGCTAGTGTTGCTACATTTAAGCCACATTTTTATACATTTACATTCTAGTTATTGTATTGCTACAGTTATATTTTGGTTAGCATTTTGATAATTTTGGCTAGTGTTTGGCACTGTTGGTTAGCAATACAGTACATTTAGCCAGTTTTTTGTCATATTTACGTTTTTGCTAGCATTTTAACACTTTCAAATATAGTTAGCATTATGCTACTTATATTTTGACTAGATTTTTGCTACTTTTAGCTAGTGTTTAGGCCATTTTCTAATTTTAGTTAGCTTTCTGTCATGTTTAACTAGTGTTGCTACATTTAAGTCACGTTTTTATACATTTACATTTTAGTTAGCGTATTGCTACTTTATATTTAGTTTCACATTTAGTTACTTTAGCTTGTGTTTGGCACTTTAAGTTAGCATTGCGGGACTTTTAGCTAGCTTTTCTGTCGCATTTACATTTTAGCTAACCTTTAGCTACATTTTTTTTACACTTTCAAATTACAGTTAATGTGCTGCTTATATTTTGGCTAGAATTCTGCTGCTTTTAACTTATATTTTCCACTTTTAGTTAGCAGTTTGGCACTTTTCGTTAGCTTTATGGCACTTTTATTTTAGCTGGTGTTTAGCTACATTAAATTCAATCATTCAACCTTGTTGGTGTATTGCTAACTATTGTTAGCTCTGTGCCATCGATAGTGCAAAACTAAATTTTCCCAATGTTATTCGAGCTACTTTTATATTTTAGCTAGTGTTTTGCTACTTTCAGGTAGCATTTGTCACTTTTAATTAGCGATTTGGTGATTCAGGCTAGCTTTTTGAAACTTTTTCATTGTAGCTAGTGTTAGTTTATTTTTTCCTTTGAACTTTTCAGACACAGTGTCTTGCCAAGGACTAGCTAGCAATTTGCTACTTTTACATTTTGGTAACCATTGAGCTACCTTTTAACTTATTAGCTGGCATTGTTCTGTTTCTTTAGCTGTGGCTCACTGAGTGTTTTTGTGTTCCAGGCGGCAGAGTAAACCACACGAGGACATAATGGGGATCCAGAACAAACCTGCAGACCAGGTTCAGGGCAGCTCCGGTCTCTCGCAGGGCAAAAGTTTCCTCCTCAACAAATTCTCCTCTCTTAATCAGAAGGTGAAACAGACCAAGACGAACGTAAACATCGGCCCCTTTAAGCCACTTGGTAAGCTGGGGAACTTCTCTAAGCCCGACGTGACCGTCAGTTTCCTCAAACCAACTATGCACGTCAACCTGTGGAAGTCGGACAGCAGCCTGGAGACGTCGGACAACAACCCAGGCGCAGGAGTCTTAAAGGACATGAGCGATGAGCACTATGAGAACTCCTCAGACTCGGATTCCTATAATTCGGACCTCGAGCGTCCGTGCACCAGCTCCTTTGACAAAGTGGACTACGTTCTACCAAGCTGTGGCATTGTAGCATCAAACCCACGTCTGGGGAGCCGCTCCCAGTCCATCGGTAGCACAGAATTAAATATTCCCTCAATTATCAGAGTCACTGGCTGCGGAGACGTGCAAGAAGGCTTGTCTCATGTAAGTGACACGTCACCGGGGTCAGCCTCCGTGGCAGAAGAAGCCCTTCTTATCGACTTTGGGACTCCCATCGACGCCTACTGCCACCAGTTTATCCAGGACGCACAGACCAAACCTGTTGAGGTGTTCGGTGAGCGCCCACCTCTCAACCCTGCAGTGCCTGTGCAAAAGACCCCAGCGGACTCGGTCAAGCAGCCAAACTCAGAGCTGCAGAGTCAGTATGAGGATCCTCAGCTCCCCAGGCCTTCCCACCTGGACATCCAAACCTCTACCTCTGGTTCCAACTTCCTCTCCGTTCAGAAACCCAGTTCCACAGTCTCAGGAGGCTCCCAGAGAAGTCTGGGCTCGCAGATGGAAGGCAGCCTCGGACCCTCGCCTGCCGACAGCAACGGCAGCCGAGCGGTGTCTCCTTTTGCCAAGATCAAGAGCTCCATGGTCCAGGTGGCCAGCCTTACCCAGGCCGGACTCACCCAGGGCATCAACTACGCTGTTGCAAAGGTTCAGAAGAGCCCAGAGCCGGACACCGTCAACGAGGCTCAAGAAAACAAGCTGAAGGCAATGTTTACTCAGTGCCAGACGAGGATCATTCAGATCTAGTTCTTTCCTTGTAGCAGGATTTTGTAGTTCTACATCGAGAAACTTTCTAAACGGTAGCATCAGCGAAAGCTTGCACAGTGTCATTCATAGGCCAAATACACGCTCTTAGATTTGCCCTTAAATGAACCTATTTCTCACGAAGACTCTTGTAGAAAACTGACAGATCCCTGAACCCAACATGACGGACTGTTTACACGCACATCGTTGTGGATTTTTCTGTTTTTCAGAGCACTGATCCAGTTTCCTTTTGCCACGCAACCTCGAACACCGTCCAGTTTTAGGGTTTGCTGATGAGACGTGCCTCTCCGTGGAAGCTGCAGTCGTGAAACCTGGTGTTTTTGTAGGACTTTGGTGCGGTCGTAGCAGAATGATGATCCTGAACAGGACAAAGCAGGTTTAGAAAACGAACGGATACATATCAAAGACATGATATGTATCAGCCGTAAAGGTTGAACTTGGTTCTTGTGCAGGGTAACTGCATTTTCCATGTCTTGGGATTCAGCAGTCCGTCCAAATCCTAAATCACTCCAGAAATACTTCACTGTTGAAGTAAATCACTCCATGGGTGCATTTCTTTGGGAAAAGCTCAACAGATAACCAAGAGTTATAGATTATATAGTTATAAAGTATATAGATTTTTATTGCATCCTCAAAGTACTCCCAAAGAGCGTTTTTTTTGTTTATGCAAACGCGTCACGGTCTTTAGTCGGAACTTGAATATCCACAGTGCTCGTGGAGCATTGATAGCTAATTATGTACTTTTATTTCATCCCGTTTAAGCAGCACTCCTGCGTAACAACTGACCAAACACCGTTACGTGAAACCCAAAGGACAGTTCCGTGTGTACAACTTACCGTACGTAGTTATTTTAGAGAATCTCGGTGTCATCTGGACCACGTCAGAACAGTTCAGGTCGTACCTCACTGGGCTGCGACTGTTTGGAGACTTTAAACTTTAAGACAACAGCTTCATGAAGTCTGAGCGTTTGTGACAAGTGTGGTTGTGTTTTTGCAGCCAGATAAAAAACAAAACAAAAAAAAAACGCGTATTTTTGCGTGCGTGTCGTAGAACTGTACTCTAGGCCGCGCACATTATTTTGTTGCCCTCTTCAACAACCGTGTTAATAATTTAACCGACTGGTGCTCACTTGAAAAGAGGACGGGATGATATGGACCAGTTTTGGACCTGGACATTTGGGGCTGTAGCTTCTGATGCAAGAACTTTGAAGGTGTCAAAATAGAACTACAGAAGATGCTTGGGATGAGTTGGAGCAGAAAGTTTTGTAAGCTCAATCATCCAGGTAGATGACATCAAAATGGTTAAATCGTGTTTCTTTATGTGAAGAAACGTTTCGTCCCCCATCCAGAGGACTTCGTCAGTCTGCAGCCTGCCAACAAGATCTGTCCCATAGGTAAACTTCACTGCTGTTTCAAGACAACCTCCTGTTGGAATCAGACTTAACACATGCAAAAGGACCCATCCGTCCAAAACAATCGTTAACAGCAATCAAGTGTTTTAGGCAGGTGGCCAACTTGCTACTCACAGAAACAGCCCGAGGACAACCAAGGCCAAAGTGGTTCAGAAAAACGTGTGAGCTCAATCATCCAGGTAGAAAACAAAAATGGTTAAATCATGTCATCTGGACCAGTTTCTTTAACAAAACGATTTTCTGAACCACTTTGGTCTTGGTTGTCCTCAGGCTGTTTCTGTGAGTAGCAAGTTGGCCATCTGGCCTAAAACGGTTGATTGCTGTTGATGATTGATAGTTTCGGATGGTTGTGCTCTGTTTGCACGTGTTAAAAGTCAACTTCTGAGATTCCAACAGGAGGAAGTCCTCTGGATGGGGGACGAAACGTTTCTTTACTTAAAGAAACTGGTCCAGATGACACGATTTAACCATTTTGTTGAGTCGGAGAAGGGTTCGAGACGCGTCGGAGAAGGGTTCGAGACGCGTCGGACAAGGGTTCGAGACGCGTCGGAGAAGGGTTCGAGACGCGTCGGACAAGGGTTCGAGACGCGTCGGAGAAGGGTTCGAGACGCGTCGGAGACGGGTTCGAGACGCGTCGGAGACGGG